CCCCCCTATAAGATATAGATACGTTCCAATTTATTAGGAATCCGATTTCTTACAAGTCGTTCCAATCACAGCCCGACACGTGTCAAGTTTACGGACTACGGCTGATTGAAAGGTTTTCTTCCATAAAATTAATCGATTCTACACTAATTCGACTCAACATTTCCAAAATACGTATATTTTTTCGTAGTTTTATAGGAATCGTAATTATAGGGACCGTAATTATAGGGGGGTCGACTGTACAGTATTTGTAGATTTTTTTACTTGGCGCGTAGTCACTGACGTGACTTTCGATACTTTATAAAGCAAAAGAGTGAGATGATAATTTTTAAAATTTCATTTATATTCTTGTTATCTTAGAAAACTAATTACTTTAATACCATCCATATTAGCAATACAATGAAAATATTAAGACTGCCTACGAAATACCAATTAAATATCTCTCGGATTCGTCCAAAACTTGCAGATTTTCGAACGCTAGATGGCGTTCGTAAAAGATCTGGCAACTTGTTTGGATGACCATTGTAGAAAAGATGGCGGCGAAGTGGTTTCGCGTGTTATCGTCGAAATCATTCAACTTTTTAAACGTTAACGTTAGAAAGTCAGCACACAGTTCGGATATAATCTTATTAGCAAAGAGAAACTATTTAACAGGAAAAGTGTGCATTCTGAACAATATTTATACTCCATGTGTGATAAGTTCTCGAGGGAGAAAGTTTTTAAATTGGCCAACTCCAGAATTTTTACCTTTTACATGGGAAAGAGTAAGGAAAGTCAATCCTATTGATGTGGCTGGTTAGTATTTTTTTTATAAACCATTGCCATTAATATTTAATATATCTATTATTTGAAATTGTAAGATCCATCACATACTTTTAACCTGTTCTAAATACTAAAGTCAGAAAATACTGTCTAAAGCAAAAGATTCTTCCAGATGACAGTAAAGTGTATGCTACTTGCTGATGATGGCCAAATCTGACAGATCCTCCCTCACCTAACTACAAAGCATAAATCTATCTTGATGATACAGATTGCTAGCGTAAATAGTTACGGTCCAACCGATACTTGTCGTGGTATTTGGTCTAATAATGATACTAAAACCCTACAAACAACATATTCTGTGATAGTCGTTTTGAAGTGGTAGAAATTACATCTGAATAGATAAATACTTTTGCAAATACAGGCTATTTATAATGTATAAAGAAATCACAATTATAAAAACTAAAAACAATACTTAAAAATTGTATTTTTAACAAAAATACTTTACTTTCAAAATACAAAACAGAGCAATCCGTGACAAACAACTTCTTTCTAGCAGACTATGTAAAAGGCATTTTTTTGTTTAACTGAAATGATCTGTTATAGCATGTTTTGTATCCTCTCGTCTTCTGATTTTGTTGTCAACAGAAATGACTTGTCAACTCTTAACATTTTGGTCAAAGAAACTGGTAATAAGTTGTTGTTAATGCTGTTTGCTAGCAGCTAAATAAAGTATTCTTTGAGAAACAATATAAAAGAGATGATATAAAATACAGCCAAACAACCAGCATTTGATTTAGCTACATAAAAGCACATCTACAATTTTAGCTTAATTTATTTGTGCATAATGTAAAGCTAATTACAGTTGGCTTCATGAGCTGAAACAAAACATCATAATTTGAAGGTTTATGAAATTTGTTTTTTTGTCATGGAGGAATCAAGCTATGCAAACTAATTAAACAATTCTTCCAAGAGGGGCTTTTCATTTCCTGGCCAACTCGTTTTTTAGTTTTATTTCATTTTTCAAATGCTGACATTGTTGCTATTAATTCATTAATTACTTTTGCACCTGTATATTATTGTTCAACTCTAAACTTAATTAATTAATGATGTCAAGCTTACTCATTGATATCATGCTCACTCATTTACTTTAAAGTAATAGGTGTTTTTTGCAACTTACAATGGGTCTGTCAAAAATCCTTAAATGTTTGAGTAAAGACTAATTAAATGATACCAAAATGTTCATTTTTTTATTAATGACCAGTGACCTTTGCTTGTTAACTGTGCAACATCTTGTCTGTCCAAAGATGTCTTTCATTCCCTAATCAAACTTAGATTTTTGAGGTTGTACTCATTAAACACTTTCTAATAGCTAGAAATATTTGAAGCATTTAAGGATTAAAAATAGACCATCTAGACCAGTGATGGGCAAACTTTTTAAAGAGCGGGCCAAAGGAAAAGAAGAAAACTTTAGGCGGGCCANCTTTGCTTACTGCATGACGCGTCTAGCTCGATTGAGGGTCCCCTTCAACTGAACTACAATAACAGGTATAAGGGATAGGGGGCGCTAAAGTCTAGAATTCGACCTAAGGACTCTTATCCAACCGAACCCACGACTAGAAATTACCGGAACTTAAACTCTATTTTTCGACTTTTGGCCAGCTTTTTGGGATTTGGTCCCACTGTGCGTTGCTCGGGCAAAGAATAACAACAAACATTAAGATTATCAGATTTTTTTATACTTCTAATCCTTCTATTATGTTATATTATAGTATTTGATTTATATAATGACGAATGTTATCTTAAGTAAGGGTTTAAAACACCAAGTGCCCAATGTCACTCATTTTAAAAATTCTTTAAATTGTGTACAGTAGAGAAATAAATAATTTTGAAAATGTGTTAAGTAATTGTTTACCATATCAAGTGAACAATCTAAGATAACTTTTCTAGTTATGTAAATCAAATACAAACATTTAAACGAAAACACTATAAAGAGTTTGGTTAGTTTAGAGTACCATTGTCATGTTCATCGCGATAATCGAATGGTACGAAATGGTACAATTTCAAAAACTGTAGACGTATAAATTTCGACTGTTGTCTATGTCTGCGTGTCTTTCCTCAATCTCGAGAAATGAGTAAGATATATGAATATCGAGAGAGATGTAGAAAGCTTAGGAGCTGGAGAACCAGATTAAGTATATATGATCTTTAGGTTTGGAATGGTTTGTTTGTTTAGTTATGGCAACGCAACACTCGAGCGATCTGCCTAGGGGGATGCTTTCCGGGAGGTCTTTTAAGGGAAACTGACCCCTATTTAGGCGTTACAGACGAAGAGAAAACCCGGAAAACTCCACGTGGCCAGCCCGTCCGAGCGAGGCACGAACCCACGACTCCCAGTGTTCAGGAAACGAAGACCGCTTGGCCACTGGTGAGCGGTTTGGAATGGAGATCACGTTACTTCGATTCAAAACTTTCCCCTGAACGAAGTCAAATAGCAATAGAATCGTGCCGGTCATCTAACAGGAAACGTGTCTGCGGACCCCGCATAGAAGCAGGACTTCAACGCTAGGAAGAAGAAGAGATGAATGTGTGTCTCGAGTTCCATCCACTTCGCAATAATAAAATATTCTGATATTTCCATTTAATAACACGAAAAAATCCCCGACGTGCAAAGAATCTCTAGACCCAAACATGACCGCTTCTCCGAGATAATGGAAAGTCAAACAAATAAAAAAAAACGATGCAATTCTGATTTTATTTGCCGATTTTCCGTTAAATTTTCCTTTAAAAAATATAAAACATAAATAAACTAAAATTTTATTTATTTTTCAAATCTTTATAATGTTTTATACAGTCGACCCCCCTATAAGATATAGATACGTTCCAATTTATTAGGAATCCGATTTCTTACAAGTCGTTCCAATCACAGCCCGACACGTGTCAAGTTTACGGACTACGGCTGATTGAAAGGTTTTCTTCCATAAAATTAATCGATTCTACACTAATCCGACTCAACATTTCCAAAATACGTATATTTTTTCGTAGTTTTATAGGAATCGTAATTATAGGGNAAGTTTTATTCAACGGAACAAAGTACAGGGAAGTTTCGAGAGCCGCACAGAGTATGTCGACGACACTAGATGATTTAAATTACAAAGATCTGTCACAATCTCAAACTTATATATATATATATATTTATGTGTGTATATATATGTATTGATTGACATGACATGAGAATGACATGAATTTCTTTTAGGTGATTTAGATCTGACTTTACCATCACTTGATCCTTCAAATCCTAAACCTGGTTTTCAGCTGTCAGAACAACTTAAAATGTTAGTAGTATTCATATATAATCAAGATTACATGTAAGTTTTTCAATTAGGTTAATCATTTCTTTATTTTTCAGTGCAAATGAAGATGTTAAGAAAATTTTTACTTTGGCTACTGCATCTCAGGTATTAAAAAATTATTATAATTATGAAAGATAAAAGTTTCAATAAAAAATTATTACTAGATATATTGTGGATATATTATTTATTAAAAAATAATTTAATTATTAAATATTTAGCATATAGTAAGTTATTTACTATTATCATATTTACTTGCATATAGGACAAGTGTGACTTTAAACATCAAAATAAAAAAAATTAGATTTATTAATACAATTCTAATTTTATTTCATTTAATCACAAGTAAAATATCAAATGCATGTAAATGCACACATTGTCCCACAAAAATTACTGGCAGTTTAAACTTTAAGGAAAAATCTTGTAAAATTGACAACATAATTTGTTCATGTAAAGCTGAACAATCTGGAACCTTTTTTGCCAGTTCTTAACAGTTGAATCCACTCTCTGTCAATTACACTTACTAGTTTCTCTGAATTCTGAATTCCAAATAATCATCTTTTTCATGTGGGAATGGATTAAAACTTGTATTGTGCTCCCATGTGATTTTGGAATTTCAATCTGGAATTTAATTCAAAAGCTTTGCTTTTCCTATTGCTATTCATCTTTACTCCTGACAATATACAAGAACGATCCAAACAACCCAGATAAAATACTTATGTTTTTAAATGCAGAGCGTAAGCATCCGGTAAAAAATGCAAATACACTGTTCACAAAAATTATTTACAAAAACAAAGAATATTTTGCTCATGCATATAGGATGACCTAGGAATTTAAGGCTGTTAAAAATGAATAAAAACCTCGTCTTATATGTGAGTAATTACAGTATTTAATAATTCATCAAATTCCATCATCACTATTTCAGCTAGTTTTGGACCCATTTTTGAACCCATATTATTGTCATCTTTCTGTAGTATTTATCAATTTGAAAATAATTATTAATAAAATGCAAATTTAATTAATTTGTTAAGCCAATCCTTTAAATTTTTTAAACTACTCTATTAAATCCCAATGTATACTTGGGTACATGTTTTTTACATCTGAGTTTATCATTCTATCAGTTTTCTCCTTTTCAGTTTTGTTTAATTTATTAATTATATTGTCTGCATTTTTTACTGAATATTTTGAATTTTCTATATTCTTTAATTGTTCTTTTAATTATTGTTCAAAGTTATAAAGTATCATGTATTGAAAATCATCTAATAGTCTATATAGTATTCAGTATTTTTGCATTTATAATGTCATTTACGATCTAAGCGACTAATAAAAATCAATATAGTGATTTGTCTACTTTGTAGTTATTGAGTAGGTGTAATTTTTCAAACATTTTTGCTTTTTTCAATAAATGATTTATTAAAAATTACTTCACCCACCACAAAGCTGTTAAGATCATAAATACGAGAAAACAGAATATCTTCCTAAACTTTAAAGTGGTTGGCAAATTGTCTTCGTAACATGATCTTTGAACTTTTACCAAACAAATGCTGTTGTCTTAACTTTAAAACTGTTTATTTTTCATTACTACTATCTATACCATGGTTCTTGTCAGATGAATGAATAACTTTGGAAAAGTTTACAGTTTCTTGGTGCCATTAGCTTAATTCCAACAATAAGACAGAAGTATTAAGACATTAATATGTATGATGATAAATGGTAATTGACAACTTAATCAGATTAGTCTTCTCTAACAGATAATGAATATTGTTTTCACAACCTGCCCCATTCTCCCGTTCCTATTTTAAGCCAGTCTTTATTCGATGCCTATGGTCAAAATTCATCCGTTTGGTGATATTAGTAAGTGAGTTTTTCTGTTTACAGTGAAATAGAGATGGTGTTTGCTTATTTCTCATTATAAGTTTAAATGAGGGTCAACTGAGAAATTCTGAGGATTTGGCTAATGTGGATATGTTTGATCATTATCCTGCTGTTCCCCATTGTGGGCCTGGCTGAATTCACAATTGACAGCATAAAAGATTTTTTTTTTTTTGTTGAGGAAAATTGCTCAAGCTTCCAAAAGTTTCCATTAATGCCAAGCAGGTAAGCTAAAGAGCCAATTAAGCTTCCATTTCTGCAAATTCAACTGCCCAAGGAGAAATTTATCAGAGGCCCTAGCATCGTTAGGAGAGCAGATCTTTGTCATCAGTAAATTATTCTGAGTTTTGAAAGCAGTTATAGTTTACATACCAAAGAAAATGTATCTTGTCTGGTGTAAAAAATATTTGGTATAATAGTCAATCAAAATTTTGAAAAATAATAATTTTACAAACAGAATGAAGTATATATTTACATTTATGAATTAATACATGATGCCAAATTCCAGTTTTCCTGATAATTATAAGACAATTATTATGATTATAAAAAATTCACAAAATATTTGAAGAATACAAAAAATTCTTCATATTTCATTTCTGTTACACCTTGGAAACTTAACAGTCTTACAGTGGACTTGACTTTTCATTGGAAGCTCTCATTCTTCTCAATATATAAAACATTAAAAATTTTTCCTCTGGCCATGGCACAATTATAAATATTTACATATTAATAAAAAAAAATGGCTAGAATGATTTTTTTAATTATTATTATGATTTTATTATGATTATTTACTTTTATGAATAGTCATATCAAAATAGTAAATAATCACAATTGCAGAAAAGTTAAATTTATATATATATATATATATTTATGTGTGTATATATATGTATTGATTGACATGACATGAGAATGACATGAATTTCTTTTAGGTGATTTAGATCTGACTTTACCATCACTTGATCCTTCAAATCCTAAACCTGGTTTTCAGCTGTCAGAACAACTTAAAATGTTAGTAGTATTCATATATAATCAAGATTACATGTAAGTTTTTCAATTAGGTTAATCATTTCTTTATTTTTCAGTGCAAATGAAGATGTTAAGAAAATTTTTACTTTGGCTACTGCATCTCAGGTATTAAAAAATTATTATAATTATGAAAGATAAAAGTTTCAATAAAAAATTATTACTAGATATATTGTGGATATATTATTTATTAAAAAATAATTTAATTATTAAATATTTAGCATATAGTAAGTTATTTACTATTATCATATTTACTTGCATATAGGACAAGTGTGACTTTAAACATCAAAATAAAAAAAATTAGATTTATTAATACAATTCTAATTTTATTTCATTTAATCACAAGTAAAATATCAAATGCATGTAAATGCACACATTGTCCCACAAAAATTACTGGCAGTTTAAACTTTAAGGAAAAATCTTGTAAAATTGACAACATAATTTGTTCATGTAAAGCTGAACAATCTGGAACCTTTTTTGCCAGTTCTTAACAGTTGAATCCACTCTCTGTCAATTACACTTACTAGTTTCTCTGAATTCTGAATTCCAAATAATCATCTTTTTCATGTGGGAATGGATTAAAACTTGTATTGTGCTCCCATGTGATTTTGGAATTTCAATCTGGAATTTAATTCAAAAGCTTTGCTTTTCCTATTGCTATTCATCTTTACTCCTGACAATATACAAGAACGATCCAAACAACCCAGATAAAATACTTATGTTTTTAAATGCAGAGCGTAAGCATCCGGTAAAAAATGCAAATACACTGTTCACAAAAATTATTTACAAAAACAAAGAATATTTTGCTCATGCATATAGGATGACCTAGGAATTTAAGGCTGTTAAAAATGAATAAAAACCTCGTCTTATATGTGAGTAATTACAGTATTTAATAATTCATCAAATTCCATCATCACTATTTCAGCTAGTTTTGGACCCATTTTTGAACCCATATTATTGTCATCTTTCTGTAGTATTTATCAATTTGAAAATAATTATTAATAAAATGCAAATTTAATTAATTTGTTAAGCCAATCCTTTAAATTTTTTAAACTACTCTATTAAATCCCAATGTATACTTGGGTACATGTTTTTTACATCTGAGTTTATCATTCTATCAGTTTTCTCCTTTTCAGTTTTGTTTAATTTATTAATTATATTGTCTGCATTTTTTACTGAATATTTTGAATTTTCTATATTCTTTAATTGTTCTTTTAATTATTGTTCAAAGTTATAAAGTATCATGTATTGAAAATCATCTAATAGTCTATATAGTATTCAGTATTTTTGCATTTATAATGTCATTTACGATCTAAGCGACTAATAAAAATCAATATAGTGATTTGTCTACTTTGTAGTTATTGAGTAGGTGTAATTTTTCAAACATTTTTGCTTTTTTCAATAAATGATTTATTAAAAATTACTTCACCCACCACAAAGCTGTTAAGATCATAAATACGAGAAAACAGAATATCTTCCTAAACTTTAAAGTGGTTAAAGATCATGTTGTCTTCGTAACATGATCTTTGAACTTTTACCAAACAAATGCTGTTGTCTTAACTTTAAAACTGTTTATTTTTCATTACTACTATCTATACCATGGTTCTTGTCAGATGAATGAATAACTTTGGAAAAGTTTACAGTTTCTTGGTGCCATTAGCTTAATTCCAACAATAAGACAGAAGTATTAAGACATTAATATGTATGATGATAAATGGTAATTGACAACTTAATCAGATTAGTCTTCTCTAATAGATAATGAATATTGTTCAGGTTTTACACCGGTCATTCTCCCGTTCCTATTTTAAGCCAGTCTTTATTCGATGCCTATGGTCAAAATTCATCCTCTGAAAGAGTATTTGAACTGATTCTTAGTTTTAGAATATTTCATACATGATTAATTCTTTCAGAATATTGAAGATGGAACTTTGTGTTTTTGTAAGGTAGCTTATGGACGACAGCATCTGTTATTTAATGTCTTCTATTTAGAGTTAAATATAATAGATATCCTATTTGAAGGGTCTGGAGATTGTAAAAATGTCCATTAAGTAGAGGTGTCTGTTAATGGAGGTTTCACTGTATTTACTTTTTACTTTATTTTTGAATTTTATATATATATAAAACCAAACACGTCAAAAATAAACTAAAAAAACCACTGAAAACAAAGGAATAATGCAAGATATGCTTTTACAGTGATAATAAGAGATGACTTAGGTGTACAACAGATGGCATTTAAGCAATGAGAGTATTTTTTCACTGGATGCACAGTTTGAACATAGAAGCATTGTTTGAACTCTGGATTAAATTTCTTTAAAATTTAGCATTCAAACTCTGGAACATTTAAAGTTAAAGTCATTTAAAGTATATATTTGTAAAAATTAATATGTACTGTAGTACATATTAATTTTTACAAATTCATCATGTTTCTAGAAAGTAATCTAGGATTTCTTTTTGTTTTTGGATGAAACATTTAGTATAAAATAATAAAATTGGTTGGCATTAGCCAAGAGTGCAATATTAAATCATTATCAATATTAAGTCAACTTAATTCACTTAACTAAATATAAAAAATTATTTAATATTTTAGAAGGAAATTAACCAATTAATTATGGAAGAATTTTTAAGTAGATGTCAAAGATATGCAACAGATGTTACTTCTCCAGAAGCAAAGAGTGAGTACTAAATTTGTTTAATATTTCAATAATTATTAGAAGTTTTTATTTTTGCTTCATATAAACTAATGTCTAAAAATTAAATAACAAAATAACTGATTTTGAAAAATATATTTAAAGTATATAAAACATCTTCACTACCATTTTATACCACTATAAAAACAGTCTGAATTTCCTTTTGAATTAAAATTATATATTATAATTTTAATATAATTTACTATAAAAGTATATGCTCCAAAAGATAAGATTATTCATCAAAAAATATTCTTGATTATAATTTATAAAAATGAAACCAAATCCTATGGAAGAAGATGTATAAATCATTGCAATTAAAATTTTAAAAAATGTAAGAATTAAGAATTCTAACTTAATATTTTACTTTCATAGAAATTTTGATTTCTACTGTAGTAATTGGCATTACAGTGGAACCTCGGTATACGTCTGCTTTAGAATACGTCCAATTCGGAATACGTCCTGTTTGGATGAAACAAATTTTGCTCTGTATACGACTTTTGTTCGGTATACGACATAAATACACGCCATCAATGAACAAGTAGCACTATCGGTGTACTAGACCAGACTAGATGTTCGCGGTGCAACGGTTTATAACTTTGTTGAATTTCTTCTAACTTTAATTTGTAAATAAAATTCTATTATTTTTTATTAATCATGAATTGCAAAATAGCAAATGAAAAGCAACAGAAATCTAAAAGAATGACTAGAATCACAATGGAACTGATAAAAGAGATTGTTGAGAAATATGAAGGTGGCATGCATGTTCAAGATTTTAACTGTTGCATATCATATTCCGAGAACAACGATATCGACAATCGCTAAAAATAAAATATTAAATCTGCTAACGTTGCGAAAGGGGTTAAATCAATTTCTAAACAGAGATCGAAGACATTAGATCATGTCGAGAAATTGCTTTTGCTTTGGATAACTGAAAAACAGTGTGCTGGCGACAGCGTATCAGAAGCAATTATTTGCGAGAAAGCTAAAAAGATACATGCTGATCTCATGAAAAATCAAGCAGGAACTAGCCAGGAAAGCGAGGTGTTTAAAGCCAGCCATTTTTTTTTACACGAGAACGGATTAATCATTTTTACATTACTTCTTATGGGAAAGGTTGGTTTGGTATACGTCCAATTTGGTATGAGTCCAAGCATTGGGAACGGATTAAGGTCGTATACCGAGGTTCCACTGTACTTTTATACATAATAAAATGTATATGTATATTTTTCCTACAATTTAATTTTGTTTCTGGGTTTATATTTGTGCTTAATTTGATAAATAATATTTTTTTAAATGTATTATATTTTTATCTTTGACTTTTTTATGTTTTCATTTCATTGTATATTTATATTTGTATGAGGCTTGGTTGAAAAGTTTTACCCTAATCAGGAGGGAATGATGCAAGTGAAACAAAAGTCACAGTCACACAATCCATGTCTGGACTTTCCACAATATATATCTATAATTTTTATTTTTCTACTTACAATTATTAACAGACAGTCAACAGAGTGCACTAGTAGGCAAGCTGAAGATTTTATGCAATGAGAATGTTTGGTGCACTGTGTCATCCAATACTGCTTCAAAAAAGAATGTTGGCAAAAGCCATCCATGCCAATATGCAGGCAACACTGCAAGGGTCTGCTCTATCAAGTATACAAATGAAATTTTGGTTAGCTGAATTCAAAGAGATTCCCATTTCATCTCAGTTTGAGGTGTGTTCTGGATGGTCAAGAACAGCAAATGTTGGAATGAATGTCACAAAAGTCTATCATCCTACAGGATTGTTGTATGACATTATTTCATTTCAGATGTGGTGGGAAATCATATGAACATGTGAAATCTGTTATAAGAAAAGTTTCAGAACACTTGGTTCCCACAGACTAACAATTGATCAGAAATGTACTTGAGAAGTGTTGGCACAATCTCATTTGCAGTGGCTGAAAACTAACAAAGAAGACTTCCTGAATTGTCTCATCATCCAAGATGAAACTTATGTGCATAATTTTGGCTCTGAAACAAAGCTACAGTTTTAAAAAAAAGTAGGACAACCCTTCACCTCCAAAGAAATTCCAAACATAACCATTGACTGGCAAGGTTATGGCCTCAATATTTTAGGACAAAAGGAATACTGTTCGTTGATTTTTGAAGAATGGGAGAACAAACAACAGTGACTATTACATGCTACTGTTGAGACAATTGCATGATGAAAAAAAAAATTGGAGAAAATAGGAAAGGAGTCATTTCCATCATGAGGACACACTCAATTTCATGGCACACCAGACCCTCCAGACAATTGAAACAGAACATCCACTGTATTACCTGATGTGGCACCATCCAATTTCCATATTTTCCCAGCAGTGAAAAGGCATTTGAAATAAGAACATTTTCTTGATGATGATGATGTGATGAGAATTATACAGAAATGGTGTGACACACTGGATGAGTTTTTTGCAAGGCTGGAGTGCTGATGAGACAAATGCATCACACTTCATGGAGAGACTATGTAGAGTAGTCCTGCAGTTACAAGTATTTCTTGGATAGCCTGGAAACTTTTCGTCCAACCTGGTATATTAATTAATTAATGCATTTCAAGTTTGCAGTTTTGAGAGTAATAAATTTTATTTATTTTAATTTTTTTTCAAACAATTTCAAATGCTAATATTGAAAAATAATATAAACTATAAATATTATAAAACTTCTCAGAGTATTATTTATTTCTAAATAAATATTAAATTAACACAAGAAAGATGTCTTCTTAAATATTCATAAATCAAATGTAAGAATATTTTTTAAAAGTTGTTACTAGTGTGAATATTTTTAATAAATGAACTTCTTATTTGGTTCATAAATTACATTTCTTACACTATTCAAAGAATATAATAGAAAATGCAAGTTCTTGTTACCCTAACATAAGTACTAATAAAGTTCTTCCACCTTTAATTATTACTAAGTACATAATTATTAATACAGTAGTAAGTATTAAGTAACGTGTAAAGTTAATAAAATTATTTATATATATAAGATTTATGTAACAATAATTATGTTATTGTTAGAAATGATTTATTTATGCTTTATGTCATGCTTTATGTAATTTATATTATAGAATCTTATACTGTACAATATCAAATATATTATAATTATTTTTGCTAATGACTCATGCTTGAAACTTTAAAGAAGGAAAATAAATTCTTTGTATTTATATTATTTATTTATATATAAGTAAATATTAAAATAAAAATTTATGTATAAATATAAATTTTTATTTTAATTTGTTAACAGTAGATGGAAATTTGAATTTTGTTTAGTAATACATTTAAATTTTTTCTCAGTTGCTTTATTAACAGTACGAGTAAGAATATTGGCAAGAACCTTTAAAGAGCATCCCAGAGTAAGCAGAATTTGTAAATTTTTTAACTGCTAAAATGATTTTTGTTACTTAAATGTTTTCATAATTACTTCAATAATTACAAAAATAATTAATTTCATAATTTTTAGTATAAACCGCATTGGTACAATCATTAAAATCTGTTCTACAACAAATTTCTGTTTGTTTCTTTAGTAAAATATGCACATACCTTTTCTACATGTTACAGTTTAAAACAAAATGAAAAGTTAATATTTTAAAAAAGAATAATAACTATACAATTAATTTAAAATGTAGTATTTAAAAACTCGCACAAATATGTATAAAGCAGGGATGGAAGTCAGTGGAAAAATATGCGAATCCTGACTTGGTATGTTTTTAAATTGACTTCAACTCCATCCCTGGTACAAAATTTTGCATTCAAAATTATAAATTTATTACATAAATTTTATTTTATTTATTTATTTATTTATTTTTGATAAATTTAACTTATGTGAGCAATATACTTTTGAAAACTATAAAATGAAGACCTATAAAATATATTATTAAAGTGTGAAAACCTGAAGGGCCCTGGGCCTACTTTAATTATTTTTATTAATAATGTTAAAATATCGACACAAAATATTAGTTCATTTTTGTGAAAAACTAGTGTTTTGAACGTGGGAAAAGATAGATAACAGATGGTACTTCCTTTAAGGGAAGTCCGTACATCCTCTGTTTTTCCCTTATCCGTTAAAAATCTCACTCAGATGGGAACTATCTACCCCTCTTTGATTCCCCTTTTCATCTGTTCACATGAATGAATTTCAAGCAGATGATTGGTCGAAAATCTGAAGATATAAGGGAAATTAGCCCGAATTCGAGGAGTTCAGCGACGGAGTTCTTCGACAGATCTGAGGCGTCAAACTCCACACAGTTTTCCTCATGATGACCAACGCCCTTAAACGAGTCCCATAGACTAAGTCCCGAGTCTGAACTTAGTAAATATACTTTTATATTTGTGCACATATTGATCTCCCATCGAAGAAGTATATGAACTTATCTACAAGGTGTCCCTTACCTACCGAATAAGAAGACGAACGTCAACTAAACCCAGGTTGTATGTTTTATAACGTTTTTGTGAGCTCTCTCTCTCGATCGCGCATTCGGTATAATAGAAGTATAGCTATCTCTCGATTTGCATGTTAATTGTGGAAATTCTTTCTCTCGTTCATTGAGATTTTTGTATGATTTATTTTCTTGTTATATTAAATTTATTATTTCGTTTTTAATTGGGATGTTTCTTTATTCTGTGACGAATCAGATCTCATACGCGTGTTTGTCCACGGAATTTAATTGACAAACTGATGTCAATCCTGACGAGCATCTGAACTTCGCAGTTCAGATCAATTTTGATAACGCTCTCCTATTAAAGTTAGAGAATTGGTCTTACCGACTAGTGCCCGTAAGTGGCGTAGATTGAGATCTACGTCCTTGGCTACTCTCACAAAAGTGATTAAAATGTAATTTGTCTTTAAACTGTTCCTGTTTATAATAATAAATCAACAAGTACCCTCCACTTGCTCATGAAATAAGACAACTGTGGAGTTAGGATAGGGTGCTTATTGTGCCTATTGTCCTCTCTTCCTTTGGTCTACACTATGCAAAGTCCAGAAATGTTAAACCTCAACAATAACATACACATGATACTACAGAAAACTACAATATTGAACGTCACATTGTTAGGAAGTTATTAGATATGGACATATACCAATAACACAGAAGCTGAATGTTACGCTTGTTTATGTAGCTATGCTTTGACTTTAGTCTGTCATGGCACTTGCACTGATATCAACTGAGTGAGACATTTGCAACATAATAATAATAATAATAATAATGTTGGTTTATTTATAAACAATTTATAGAGTTTTTCAGGACAGATATGTCTAAATTAATACAGTGGATCTCAACCTGTGTTTTGCAAACTTGCTGAGTGTTCCACAAAAAAACAAAAATATTTTAAAGTTTTTATTGCAAATTTATTCCAACATATTACTTTATTCATAGACGATTTCATATTTGCTAATGCTTTATATAATAACAGGTATATAAATGGTGTTGTGCAACTTCAGAAAGGTTGAGAACTACTGGTGTAATGCAATAAAAATAATTAAAATTAACTAATATGATTAATTTTAATTATTTCCACTTTGTTAGATATATTTTAATTGAAAAACATCAGGATCATTTTAGGAAATAAAGGAGAGATTATTATATTAATTTTTATGTAAATTGCTTTTGTTTAGCTAATGCTTGGAAGCAAACTAATTATTACATGTACTAGTTATCTGTTTTTAATTATAGCACAGTTGTGATTTACCTGCAAGATTGTCTGCAAATTAAAACCAATTGTTGCATAGAAATACATTAAAATTGGGAGATAATTTTATAAATGCATAAATAATCACTAACATAACAAATTTTCTGTTTGTTTGATTTAGATAAGTTAAATTTAAGAGGAATTTATTTATAATTATCATAAATAAGAAATAGTTAAATCATATTTGTGAATTAAATTTACAATTGAAATAAATTTACATATAATAATATGAAGAAATTACTTTCAGTTGAATTACTTGTATAGTATAGAATGCATTTAGTTGCCACTTGGTTATGAATATTTGAATATTGATTAATTCATTTTACAAACACAAAATTAAAGTATAAAATATCTTAATTTCATAAAATTTTTATATTTAAACATATGTATTTTTATTTCATTAATGATTTAAATATTTTGTTTCAGAATAAAAAAGCTAAAGTCAGTCTGTTTCATTGCATTGACAAACGTAACATGCTGCTGAGACTATTGAGGCAGTGGGACTATAGACGTTTCGAATGGTTACTTCACGAGTTAAAGATTACTTACAGAGAACCTAAAGATGGAAAGCAAGAGAAAATATCTAGAAAAGGCGAGCTTCGGAGACTAACTCGCGAACATTGCGAGAAAGTAAAAAATGAGAAATTGCAAAAATATCACGAGAAATTAAAAGAACAACAAGAAGCATTCTTAAAAGAAAAAGAAGATACATTGAAGTGGATTGCAGAAGAAGAGAAAAGTCTTGGTTTAATTGAAACTAAAAGTTAGATTATTAAAACGTATTAATAAAAAATGTATATAGCAATATGTTATTAAAATATCTTTATTGTTGCTGTCATTTTGGAAATTTCTTATAAGATAAAATTTTAATGTTTGCAGCTAAAGTATGCATTAGTATTAAAATTTTTATTAGAATATTTGAATAATTGCAAAATTTCTGAAATTTATTGTGATGATAAATCTTAACACACAATACATTGTATTAGTGAAGAAAAGTAGGAATATCCAGAATTTATTTTAGAATATTAAGTGTTTATGCTATCTCACACAATTGTTCTGTTGGGTTTTTCACACTAATAAATTCTTAGTAAATTGTGTCAATCAGTAATATATACATTTAAATTACATTATGTTAAAGTGTATTTTATTGATTAATAAATTCCTCAGTGTAATGAGCCCTACAGAACGATTGTATGTGATAGCAAATAATGTAATACTAAAATTCAAATGTGTCCAAAGTTCAATTTCTGCAATTTCACTACAAAATTCTAAAATAACTATTATTATTAGTGCTTCTTGCCTTTTAATTTTTTTTTTTAATTAAAAGGCAAGAAGCACTAATAATAATAGTTATTTTAGAATTTTGTAGTGAAATTGCAGAAATTGAACTTTGGACACATTTGAATTTTAGTATATTTTATGATGATAAATCAAAATTCATTCAGATGCTTCCATCAAATTATATTTTTTATGTGGCACAATTTGTTTCATTGAAACAAACTGTTTAAAATTATGCAAATGATAGTATATATTTTTTTCTAATATTTGGGGTGCTTCTGGAAATGATAGTATATATTTTTAGAGGTTTTTACCTAAACTTAGTTTGTGCACTTCTCAAAGTACAAAAACCCCACCACTGAATCCACAAATTCTTTAAGTATTTTTAAAAATTTTTTGTTTTTTATTCATTCAATTATGAATTAAAAGCATTAATTTTTCTTGACACTTCAAGCAGGAATAAATGATATATTACTACTAACATTTATATAATCATTGGAATTTTACATATCTGCTTATTGTTCCAAATTGTGTTTAATATAATAGGAATACTCTTTCTATTATTGAAAAGCTAAAATTGTTATTTATGGTTCCATACCCAAGATGTGTGTGTTAACAAAATATATTGTTTAGCAATACATTGTTATAAGCTGTTTTTTTTAAATGTCTACATTCTATCCTTTATTCACTCACATCAGCTGTATGGATATTTTTTTTTTTTGTTTTAACAAATATTTATTAATTTCTGAAACATTACTCAAGAAAATAACAACTTTAGAACAATTGGAATGTTTATTTTGATGACAAATCGTCTCTATGTTAAATCAGAGTTGAATAACATCTTAACAATTATACAATTAAGATATTAACTGTACTTTTTCCCTCAAAAAATACAAACTGTTTAGAAATTGGATTTCTTCAATATTATAAATTATAACAAAATTTACAACTGAGTCATACTTTCAATTATTTACAGAATAAACAGTATCAATACTTTGCATACAGTGATTAATGAGAATTGAAAATTAGAAAAAAAAAAACAATATAAAAGGTAGAAAACTGAGGTAAAGTAAAATTAGAGCATTCATTAACACTTCAAATTTCAAACACTACTATTTGGGTTTTTACTAGACCTCTAAGATGATAAATCCACTGATGTTAGACTTTGAGGTCCAAAAGTATTAGAGAATTCATATAGAATTCTTCTTTGACTCCAATACAGCAATGTTTTTGTGTGTTAGTGAAAGTGTAACAATGCAGAATTTTTATAATCACAATTATGTGGAATGAATTAATTAAAACTGGAGGAACAGCATTATTGGAACTAGCAGCAAATACAAATGATTTAAACAACACACCAATGTCTGCTATTCGTTTACATTTCAAAACGTCCTCATAAAAATTCAAATTACACAAAATAAAATTTGTTTTTGAAAAATCTATAACATTCCAAATACCAAACTTCATTTTACGTTATCCACACAGACAAAAATAAGTAACACAAATTATGTATTAAGTAAATTATTTAAAAAAATCATATTGCAAAGTGTTTTTCTCTAAAATTCATCTATAAAAAGTCAGTGAATAAGTGTATTTTGGTAACTATAAATGATGACAGATATGGATTTGACTATTAATTGGACTTCTGAAAGCAATTACAGTACAATCTCGTTTTAGAAGATTGCAGAACAATGGACAATGGATTTTCCCAGGTCTCACCAAATCAATGTAATTTTACCTCCTATTAGTGGATCCATAACTCAGAATAAAGGATTTTTCTAGCCCCATCTATTGAAAACTCTTTTTTTTTTTTCTAATATTTGGGGTGCTCCTGGGAATTTGATGATGTACAGAGTCAGCAGACTGAGAAGGACAGAGTAGTAAACATTCTGATGCTGGTCCGAAATTTAGTGATGCCATCAAGTCTTTCCAATTCATGAAGACCTTTCTGATGAGCTTCAGCACAAACAGGCTGTATGTGACATTACTAATATCAAGAAGTTGTATTCAATAGGCAGAAAAGCAGCATCAAAATACACCAACACAGATGCATTTTTTTTAACAAAATTGTGATGTCAAATGAAGTGTTAATTAAAATATGTACAGTAGAGCATCGTTTATCCGAATTAATTGGGGACTGGGGTTGTTCGGATAATCGATTATGTACGAAAAAATATACTAATCTATCCCACCATTGAAAATTTTGTGTCGCTTTGCATTGAATTTTCGTCAATGTTAAGCCTAATGAAAACTTTTTAAAATAATCGTGGTTATTGTATCGTTAAAAATTATTATTTTATTTTGTACAAACAAAATAAATTTATTGAAATATATAAAAACCAAAAAAAAAATATACTTTAGAAGTTGATCTAGTATCAAAAATGTTTGATTCAGCATTACACACAATCCTCAGAAAAACACCACACAAAAGTGCCAGTGCTGCTAGCTAAAACACACACACACCAACAAAAAAAATATTGTAGCAGCCCAAGATATAGCCAAAGATTGCAATGCCACAGCACTAGCGAAAATTTAAATTTGTCGACGAATGCTTTCGGATAACAGACGCTCTACTATAATTTACTTGTGCTTACAGTATATACAGTTTCTGCCAGCTTTGTTGTACATTCTTATGGCATAATATATGATCTTGTAACATACATGTTTCTATGGGGTAAAGAATAGAGATCTGAATAACAGGTATTTTTTATATATAGGAGGTTGAATAACATATTTTCCTGGGTGTGTGGGAAATCTATTTGCAATATAACAGATTCTCAGCAGCATGAGCAATCAGTTAAAACGAGATTCTACCATATAAACATTCTATTACAAAACTGCATCATTTAATTAATATTAAACATTTCACCTTTTAGACATAACCTGGCAAGAAATTGCTGTGCTGGACAGTAGAGTAATTCCCACGGATTTGATGAGGTATGAAGTTTATTGTCTGTAGGAAGTTTAGTAAGAGGTACTTGAGGTGAAACAGGAATGATTTTAATAGGATTGGAAATAGAAATATCACTGGAATTGAAATTCGAAGATGAGGAATGTAATACTGATTCTTTGTCGTCGTCGTCATCAATGCCTTCATTTTTATGGGACACTTTGTCATCTGAGGTAATCTGAGAATTGTCATTCCAACTACTTTGTATTTCTAAGTCTTCTTCGCCTGTTGAATCTTCAATAGTTTTAATGGTAGTTTCTAAATTAGACTGCAAAATTATTTTGTTTTTTAACGTATTTGGTTCAGATTCCGAAGATAAATTTTCTTTATCACTCTCTGTAGGAGATTCTGTTATTTTGTCCATTGAATCAAAAAACACTGGCTGTGCACTCTCTGTTATGTTGTCATCTCTTTCTAAATTTATAGGATTGTCTGTTTTTGGTGGAAAAATGTTATATCCTTTTCCGTATCCATTTTCAATTGTAGAGTGTTTTTTCTGGCTTTTCTGAAAGATGTTTAAGAAATTGTCTTTTTCCGAAATTTCCAAGATCGATAATAAATCTAAACTGTCTTGAAAATTTTGTTGCAATGTATCCTGTTCTTTCTTTTCTGCACTACAACAGTAAACTGCAGCAGTATCTATTGGGTGCCCTTCAGTGTTGAATATATAGCTGCCCGTACCGATAATGCATTCTCCACCCGCAGTCTTAATGACTTCACCACAGCTGCCGTTCGAATGAATAAAATTTGATGGATCAAAGAGCAAATATAAATATTTTGTGGTTTCTGCTAGGAAAAAAGATTCCATTCTGTCTTCTACTCGATGATCTTGGACATTTTTTATCTAAGAAAAAATAATAAAAAATTCAATTAAATGATGATTACTTTATTTACATAAAAACTAGCTAAAATATTTTTTGATGTACACAGTTTGTTTACTTTGTTTTGTGCATAAAGATTAAAAATATTAAATAATTTTAGCATTTTAAAGGGACTGACATAAAATATTTAAATTTAATCTACATTGGATATTGATGGTTGACTAAGACAGTAAGATTTTTCTATACATTAATCAAATGTATTTTGATTGCTTGTTGCAACAGTTTTACATCATTTATCCAATTTGGCACTGATTTTACCACATCTCTTAGAAAGAGTTAGTTAGACCCTCTTAGTGCCCCCCACAATGAGGATATGTTGGGTGGGAGTGATGGGGCACAACATATCAAGGACACTGCCCATGAAAAACTTCCAGGAGTTTTTTCTGGATTTGATTTCAGGTTCCTAGCATAGCAGGCTTTGTCTTGATCAGCCAAACATCAGTTTTTGAGGCTCTTCATTTTAGAAGAGTCAAAATTGGAAGGAGATACTTGTGAAGTATATCATCATTTACTTATCAGGTCCACTTAGAAGATGAAAATAAATCAAATTCAATGCAACCAAGCAAATATAATTTAATTAGTTGACAGGAAAGTTTTCTACAGATCTTTACAGAATCTCTAGAAAACTTTTTCCACTTGGCTCATGAGATTTAGCCTAGAATTTTATAGCACAAAAACAAACATGGCATGTAGTCATCATTCACACACACACTCTTATTCTGAATTGTTGGAGTTATTCAAAAGAGTGAAAAACGAAAATATTGCTTAGTTTAATTATGAAATTTGAATTAGAAAATGAGATTTTAATTTTTGAGATTCAGGATTACTAGAATGAGTACATGTAATTTTTTTTTTCCTTTCTTTTTTATAAATTGAATTATGACTTTTCTTTTTTTATGCCAGCAGTAAGTGATCCATATACTTTGACAAGTGATATGGATGTTGGCAGAAGCATTTAGATACTACAGGAGCTTATTTAAAGTTACATGGTGTAAGTTTATGTGTATTGTGTAATAAAACCAGTACCAAAAGTTTGGTTCACTTTGACTCTACCATACAAGTCTGATCATAAATTGTGATAGTTACAAACTGAAAATAATTTGCAGGGATCACACTGCCTGCCACAAAATTTGCAATTTTGAAAATTATATTTATCTCTCAATTGAAGAGATGAATATCCAGAGAACAATGTGGGGAAAAAAGTTACTCAGTGACATTTTAATCTGTTATTTTAAACATTATTTTCATAAATCTTGTAAACACTTAGTACTTACAGTTGCATATCCACAATCTGTTCTGGCACTATGCTGGATAGATTTAAGTATGTCAACTCCAACTTCTAACAAATGAGGATCTCTTGTGGCTCGATAAAGATACATAACACTTTCTATTAGTTCTGTTAAAAAATAAAAACATTTTATTAATTTTATATTTCAACTTAAATTATTGAAAGAGTAGTTATACAATTATAAAAAACAATTCATTATTTTATTGATGTATCAGAACAATATAAATCTTCTTCAGAAGTGATTTAAGATGTTTTTATTTGTCATTTGAATTCTACAACATGCAAATACATGTGGCCATAATCAGTTTCTCTATTCGGAGCATTCCATACTGTAACTGTGACCGTAGGGTCGGTGTCTCGTTGAAAACACGTCAGGAGACCTAAATCTGACACCACCGAGTCTCTGGGGGACTCGGTAATCGCGACGTTACGTCATGCGAGCGGTAGCGTGTGAGTGCTTGGATTCGGAGTAGAGGTGAGGAGAGAGACGAGGAAGTAATTTACTCGGATTCCATGGTTGCTAACAAATAACAATTTTAATAAAAACTAACGAAAATACAGATATATTCTATTTCTATCATAGCCCCCTAATTATACTATTCCGTTCGAGAGAGAGAGTTTACACGCGAATCGCGGGTTGATAAATACCTTGCTTCTGGGTCGAAGGATCTGTGGTCACGCCAATGATGATATGCCGATGGAAAGTTCAATCTACTGGTTCTGGATCTTGTCTGTTCACTGGGGTGGAGGCACGGAGGTGTGGAGATGTTATCCTTAAACAGGCACGATCTTTCTCTCTCGGGTTTGATCCTGGATCACTATTTTAAATCGGGAGGACAACTTTGTTGAGCGGACTTTTTGAAGACGACTTTTTTAGAGGGACTTCGGATGACGACTGATCTCGGGGTCTTTTTCCTTTTCTCTTGTTATTCCTCTTGGGTTTTTCCATGAGGTCAGGTGGTTGCCGTTAACGGTCTGGCGTCCAATATAGGCACTCCATCGAAAGTTCCGGGTGACACATTGCTGACTAGCTGGATCCGCCTCAACAAGGAACAAACTCCGTGGGAAATAATTTTTATGGCTTTTAGCCTAACTCTCGATTTTAACTGATTAAAGTTCCAATAATTAAAATTTAAAATAACACTTTATTGTGGGTCTGTTCGTCCCTCACATAACCGATAAATGGATTGACACTAAAATTTGTATACAGACTATGCAAAAGAAATTTAGTTTTAAAACTTCTGCTAGGGTGTGCTTTACAAGAAAATACATGAAAAAAAAAAAAACAAATAATGAAGACCAACCTTTAAGTGACATTTTAATCTGTTATTTTAAACATTATGAACATATCAGTGAAAAGAATGATATGGATCTGAATTCATGTAATTTCTGATTGTGGAACCATTTAAGGAATCATGGAAATGTTGCAAATTTGGTAGACTTAAACGATCATATTACATTGCGTATGTGAAGCATCACAGGTTGTGACCAGCTATAGAACATGCTGTTCATTGCCTTCAAATTTTATTTCTGAACAATAATAGGACAAACATTTAGTAACATTCCTTACATCAGTAAACAACATCTACAGAAGAATGTCCTTTGCGGAACAAATAAATGCATTTTTTGTTTTTTTGATTTTTCTATAGAGTCCCTAAAGAAACTTTTAAACTAATTATTATTATTATTTTTTTGAAAATCCTTTTCCACATCCTTTGCATAGTCTGTATACAAATTTTTATATTAGTCGGCTTAATGATTATAGCTACAGAGTGCTCTGAATATGGAACTTTAATTAAAATCATTCTATATATTGTGAAAACCAATTTTGGAAACCTTAATAAGAATTTATGCAAATTATTGTTAATTTATCATTTGCAGAAATATATCTATATATCACTTTTCTGCCAAAACTACACATCGCACGTGAATGGTGTTTGTATGTGGTAG